TTTTATTTTTGTTAGTTTTGCATTTGATAACTAGTATATCACAAATATTTGTATAAAAACTAGTCAACTATAACTCATGAAATTATCTTATTTATTATAGAGATGAATATGCAATATTTTGCATAAAAAACTAAATTTCTTGTATTCCCCCCCCCCCCCACCCCAATATATATTATATATAATATATATATATTATATATATATATTATATATTATATATATATATATATATATATATATATATATATGGGGGTATGAACTCACCTTGAGTGGATTTGTGGGTTGTTTGAAGAGATGTTGTGAAGATTTCCAAGCCTAAACTCTTGAATAGGGTTGATGAACTCTTTGAAGATGATATTCCCCTAAGAGTTTTAACACATAATAAGGGTGTGAATATAATGAAACTAATGTAAATGTTTGTAAAAACACTAGGTTAGTGAGATAAACTTACCAAAACTCTATGAATAAGTTTGGACATTTAAACCCCTTTGAAGCTTGGAATTGATTCTTTGAGAGAAAAGGGAAGTTAACAGGAAGTAGAATGGAGAAATGGTGGGGATTTTGGGTGCTTCTTGTCGTATATATAAAGGAGAAGATGAGGTGATGTTTACTTGGATATTTGTTGGCAATAGCATAGATACATGTTGGGTAAACTTTGCATGGGAAACTGATGAAATATCACTTCTTAAAGTCAACTATCCTTATCTCTTTATTCCCACTAAGTACCCATTGAAATTTCCTTAATATGACCGATATCCTAAGTGATTTCGGCCTAGACATGGTTTGATTTCGGCCTAGGTGTGTTCTAGGCTTGTGATTTCGGTCCTACACCCTTCTCTCATGGTGTTTTCAGTTTTGGTATCACCCATTAAAGGGGTATTCGATCCTAGTGGTCTTAGTCACGGGATTTCGGCCTTAAGCAAACCGAAATCACTAAGGTGGTGGGTTCCTAGGCCTAACACTATAAAGCAAAGTCTTAATTCATGATTTATGTTCCAACTATTTGACTTGTCTTAACTTGTTATAACTTGTTTACTTTCAAGAGTTTATTAAAAATATGATTTCCAAGTATATATATATATATATATATATACACACACACACACACACACACAACTAATGCCCTTTTGGCTTTTCAAAGTTTTATTGCAACAAGGTTACATTGTGAGTTCATTTATACATAGTTACAACTTAGACCTTGCGTGTTCCAAAAATTTTCAGTTGTCGCAATATTCATATTGTTTTAGTATTGACGAAGATCCTAAAACATTTGATGATGCAATGAAATCTCAAGATGTTGCTTTCTGGAAAGAAGCAATAAATGATGAGTCATGTTCTATTATGGGAAATAATACTTGGGTGTTGTCTAGTCTTCCTACTAGATGTAAACCTTTAGGTTACAAGTGGATATTCAAAAGAAAAATGAAAGCTTATGTATCAATTAACAAGTTCAAGGCTAGATTGGTTATTTAAGGCTTTAGACAAATACCTGGGATTGACTACTTTGATACATATGCTCCTGTATATCTACCATTAGATTGGTTATTTAAGGCTTTAGACCCACTTGATATCTGTATGGATGAGATACCTAATTCCCTTCTAATACAATGTTACAAGTTGAATTCAATGTGGAAAGCTTAAATATAGAGATTGTAGCACATTTATGTTATTACATCCCAATGTATGTACTTATAATGTGTAGAGTTAAAGTATGTCGATTACGTTCTTAGTAGTTCTTTTGAAAAAGTGCATTAATAGGTGCATAATATAGAAGGACTACCTATGTGAGTGTGAAGTGATGCCACTTCAGAAAGTTTGGGCTAGGCTTTTATGCACTCATGAATAGATATGACACATGGTTGTAATAGTCTCAAGTATAAAACATTAGATATTGTGTTTAACTTATGTGTATAATATCTTCAGTTACTCAAATGAGTTGAATGGTTCAATCTTCATGACACCCTGATTCTCGAGTATTTAACATGTATATTATACTAATGTGAAAATTCAATCTTCAAGATATTTTCATTTATGCATGAGTTTGGTTTTGTGTTTGTTTTAGCTGAATTCGACTAAGATGGGGAAGGAGTTTTGGTGATTTTAGTGTTATCAACATATTTTAGTATAATTATTATTAATACTGAGATATGTTGAATTCTATTTACTCATTGAGAGTGGACGTTGGAGTGCACACTCATGAAAATAAATGTGAACTCCAGAATACGGGAGTCCAGAGGCAGCGCCCCTGGGTACGTGGTTCCAAAAGGCAACATCCCTAGTAAGGTCCAAGGGGCAGAGCCCCTGGCAGTGGTTCCGAACATGCATTTTCCCGCCAAAAGGGTTTCCGACATCATGATGATGTAATTAGTTGGTTGTGTCTGATAACTACCTTTAAACCTCCATTTCGGCACTAAATCTGCATGTAACCACCATTAACTACCTTTCCCTCTTATATAAGAACATATTGCATGTTCTAGAAAAGGGTTACATTCCATATATACGAAAATCACTCATCGGATTTTCTCTATCTCTTAATGAACAGAAAAACAACAAGGTATTATTCTGTGTTTTGAATTTAGAAGTAGTCTGACTTCCAAATTGTTTTTCTTGGATTATCCCAAATCGGATATCGTGATACCCTAAGTAAAGGGTCAAAATCTAAGTATATTGATATTCTCAAGACCCCACAATCTAACAAATAATTAATAAACTATTTGTATCACTTTTATAACATGCAAAAGCTATTTGGTTCATTGAGGAAAACCTAAAAAAGACCCAGTAATAAATGGATAGTCTTACCAATTTAGTTATTACATTGTACATTATTCCAACACTTCTAAGATTTCTTTTGTTTGTAAAAGTGTTCAATATCAATAACTATTGATAATATTTCTAATAATAACATAATCATTTTAGGTTGCCATCATGACATATTTAAGGAATTAACGAGGAAAACTAATTTATTAATTTATTATATTGGACAAATTAATCAAAACCTATTTTTAAATTAAATAATAATTAATTAAATCAAAAGGTTGAATATTAATTAATTAAAAGTTAGTTAGTTGGAATATTCAAGAATCTTTTAAAGATTAAAAATGGGACAAAATTAAAGTTGGACGTTCATGGGTTGGGATATGGCCTATAAATAAGTTGTTATGGATGAAACCATTTAGCTTATTGGCTTACAACTTTTGACAGTACCTTCTTTCTCTTCTTGAATGAATTTCTTATCTCTTTCTAAGGTTTGTAAAAATTGATCCTTTTAGTTTTTTTTTTTACTTCTATCTTTGATGTTCTTAGGTGTGAACCATTAGAGGAATTCTACTTTGGATCATATCCGTCCAAACAAAGTGGCAAGGACAAGATCGTAAGCCAAAAAGTCTCTAGCTGCAAAAGAGGTGTATATATATATGAGAAATTATACATGTGTCCTCACATGTTTAAATAAAACATTATCAGTCTGTCTCACCATGTTTAAATTTGAATATATATATATATATATATATATATATATATATAATATATATATATATATATATATATACAGTCAATCGCAACGATATAGCGGTTAGCAAAGGTAAAAACCACTATTTTTAGAACTATGGGTTTTATTCTGCAAAGTATTTTTTATAGTCTAGACTCGATGGTAGATACTAGGGATGAGAATTTGACCCGAAAACTCGAACCGAAACGAAACCCAAACCGAACCAAACCGAATTAGGCCCGAATAAACAATTCGATTTGGTTTCGGGTATCTATATTAGGCTTATTCGGGTTTCGGGTTATTCGGTTCGGGTTACCCGAATAAGGGCTTATTCGAGCCAAATGGACCGAACCGAATTTGAAGTCAAGGTAATTTCATATTCCATTCCATTGTTTTTTTATTTTTAAATTTCAGCATGTTTGAAATTTTTTAGCCAACTTTGAGTTGTCATAACGTCTTTATTATTTGTCTGATTAGCCTAATTTTTTTTCTAGATTCTAGTTCTCACTTTTAACTACAATTTAGACTATTTAAATGCATTATTTGGTTATATATTCAGTGAGATATAAACCTCTAAACATGAGGTATTAAAGCTGAGTTTTTCTGTTTCAGCATGTTTGGAATTTTTTAGCCAACTTTGAACTAGATACAATCACAAGACTAGAGACAACTTTATTTGTGTGTGTGTGAGAGAGAGAGAGAGACAACCATCATTGGTTGATGCTAACGTCCCGTTCCTTGCATGTATTCTTCACATGTCTCATGGAGTATTAAGCTCCTTCCTAGTTTCTATATACCCTTTCCTTTCCTCTCCTCTTCTTCCCCAATGTCACAACATTCCAAACCACTTAGAACTTAACCCAAATCTGTCGAGGAGGCGGCACCAATCTTAAAAAGAACAAAACTGAAATCAAATTTCAATTTATTCCATACAAAAAAAAAAAAAAAAATTCAATCTTTAGGTAACATGTCCCCATAGTTCCCTCTTTAAATCTGCCCCTCAGTGATAGAACTGCATAAAGCCTTGTCTGAAGGGACTAGCAGCAGCAGCAACTCCGTCCTCCATAGGCTTAATTATCTCATCTTGGACTCATTTGAAACCCTAACTGCTTTTTATAAGCTTGATACGAGTTTTTCAAAATGTTGAGAAGAGTGTTTCTGAGTTGTGTTGTGAGTCATACATACAATTCAAGCATTGACCAATATCCTTAGACGGATGTTGATTTTGTTTGGTCCATACACCATATTTGGATTTGCAACGCTGCATCTGCCAAACATGCACTTCAATGTAAGAAACGTCTGAACGTCATTTGTTTGTTGTTAATTACCATTTAACGATCAGGTTGTGATGGCTTTTTGCTTTCCTACTAATATATAATTATATTATTCCAACACTATATGATTTCAAGTTCTTTATGATACCCAAATATGACATCGTCAAACTATTGATTAATACAAAGAAAAATGCTACAATTTTTATTTTTATTGCCGCTAATCAAGTACTTTTGATAGACAAGTTTATGCCGCTAATCAAATACTTTTGGTAGACGTTTGGATTCATTATATGTACTTCAAAATATCATATTTATAGTAACTAATTTATGTTTATTATATTGACCCTACATAAAATTTTAGACTTAAGATTTGCTCGGATCCTTATTTTTAATATTGTATATTCATATTAAATCTTTACTTCTATCAATTAACTAATATACTATATTATAAAATATAGTCTATATTATTTTTAAACATCAAAATATTATATTTACTTTTCACAAACTCTCACATATGCATTTGCCCAAATTCATATTTTAACACATTTTGAAAATTTTATATCAATTTTAAATCTTTATTTTTATCATTGTCTATTATAACCTTTTTAAAAATCTATGTTAATCATATATCTATTTTTATCATTAAACCTGAAAGAAGTGATCATTTTAGCCCTTGCAACAAATCAACCTACAAACCAATATATCAAGCAATTAGCAAAAAGAGATAAATAGATAAATACATAAACTCAACAAAGATACAATCAGCAAACATATTAACAAAAACCAAAACGATAACATGAGGACAACGTTAGAGAGGGAACGAGCGGAAATTTCAAATATGATATTTAAGAATATTTCAAATATGATATTTAAGAATAAAAAAAATTAAAAATTATTAATTAAAAAAAAATGAACGGAAAAAGAAGAGAAGTGATGGGAAAAAAAAAAATTAAAAATTATTAATTAAAAAAAAAATGAACGGAAAAAGAAGAGAAGTGATGGGGAAAGGGATGACGACACTATGAACGACAATAGTGCGGAAGTGCTTCAATAAGAATTAACTATTTAATTGTTTTGTTTCTAGTTTTTTATTTATTACAATTGATTAAAATAATAATCTCAATAAATATCATATTTTGATATTTTGAATATTTATAAACATAGAGTCAAGATCAAATAAGAAGGAAATTTTTGATAGGAAGGTAAGAAGTTTTTTTTCTACATATTTTTTTGACGAACAAAATAAATGAATCACTAGATGATTCATTTCTAAGATGATTCACAAGAAAAAATTCTCAAAAAAACATCTTTATGATTCATTTATACAATGATTTTGTTGTTATTCACTAAAATTATCATAAAAATGAATTTTTTCTTAATTTACTTAAAAATGAATCATAAAGATGTTTTTTTGAAAATTTTTTTTGTGAATCATCTTAGAAATGAATCATCTAGTGATTCATTTATTTTGTTCGTAAAAAAAATATGTAGAAAAAAAAACTTCTTACCTTCCTACCAAAAAAAATTTCTTACCGGATCTATATCCTATAAACATATACCAAATTCGGATATTTGGTAAATCATTGAACTTTTGTATTAGTTTACATATCATATCATATTTATTATTATAAGAAGATCAAAGATGTCAACATAATAAAAAGTTGCCTAAAATTCTTTTCCTATTTTCTTTCCAATTTCACAAAATGTACACATTGCAAACTAAATACATTTTCAACATTGCACTACACAACAAAAGAATATTGCAAATCAGTTTCTTTTTTTCAGTTTCTTCTATACATTAGTGATTATCTATATTAAACATTTATATCTCCTATATTTCAAGAAATTAATTATTAGATGTTGAAGGTTACTTACCAAATAGATGTAGCAATTGGATAATAGCCAACTCACAAATGTTTGAAGACTGCATCAAAATTTTCCAAAAAAAAGGATTATGAAGTCATAATGTTTCCATCTAAGAACACATTTAGGAATCAAAACAGTCTACAATAACATCACTTGATAGATAAACACTCACTGCATAACACAAACAAAATAAAAATAATTACCTCCCAAAAATGGTGGAGCAAGCTGGCTTTTGATGAACATATTGTCTTCTTCACTATCAGGAATAACAAATCAATCTACATATCCTACTACTATAACATCTTTAAAAACATTGAAAGAAAACAAACCCTTGTGAGATATACAGAATTTAAAACTTTGAAGGCAATTCTTGGTTGAATTTGAAACTGAAACGTTTATTATCTTTCAATGTATAAAGTTCAAAGAATGTAAATCTGCAAATACCAAATTGAAGAGCTCAAGGAATGTAGAACCACAAAATGCAATTGTCATACACAGGTCTTGACTCCATGGAAGAAAAGAAAAGAAGAAAAGGAAAGGAAATGTTACTGGGAAAGCAGGAAAGACTCAACAAATGATATTCGTATACCAGTGACTGTTGCAGAATTAAAAACATGTACAATCGCTGCAGTCAGCAAAGAAGGTAATTGGAGTCACATAAACAGCTTCTTGCCCTTGTTGTTAATCAGCAGATCCTCAGGTCATCATCCAGTCTGCTGAATTGACCCAACAGATTGCCATTGTTATCTATCACAAGCATACCGATTCCCAAACCCAACCATGGTGGCTTGTTTCCTTCTTCTGTATCTACATTTTCACTTAATTGACCTTCCTCCGTAGTTGTGTTTCCTCCTTTCTCATCTGTGGATACTTCAATGGAAGTTGTGGTGGTGGTGGTAGTGATTGTGGTGGTGGTGGTGCCGCTGATTGTTTCATCACCAACACCACCACCACCGCCACCGCTGGTCTCGGTCTTTGAGGATTTACGAGATGAGCCACTTTCTGATCTGAATGGGGCCATGTAACCCGGCATCAAACCCATCTTCATCGATTGGAGTGTATTTGAAGCCTCTTCTTCAGCATCACATGTATCATCAGACTGGATGTTTGGATTGGTTACCGGGTTATGAACATTGGCACCCCATCTATCCCACTTCTTCCAATGAACCACTTTCGATTTCGCAATTGGGGCGTGATCCGGAACGACCCGACCCGACACACGCGTCTCCTTCTCCTCCCCCTCCGTAGAGTAATGATCGGCCTCCTGAGAAACCTGTGTCGACGATTCGCCATCGGATTTGGGTCGAATTGGGGCAGAAGCCGACAATCTTGCTTGAAACTCCTGTTTTTTGGTCGTATATGCTTTCGATGCTTCTTCCGCGGTGTTATATGTGCCCAACCAAATTCTTTTTCTGCTAAAAGGGTCACGGATCTCAGCCGCCCATTTACCCCACTTTCGCAATCGAACTCCGGTTAATTTCTTCTTTCCGGTTTGATCCGCCGAATCCTTCCGCTCCACAGGTTCCTCGGCTTCTTCAGATTTGACCCCAATCACAATTTCGCAAACAATTCGGCGTGGCGATGATCGCTCTCCGCTGTCAGCTTCATCCGATGATGAATCGGTGGCTTCAGGGTCGGAGCAGATGACTCGAATTTTCCTGAGACTTTTGCCGGTGAATTCTGGTTGTTCCTTGTTGGTGACGTAATTTCTCAGCCTCTTGCTTACACGGTGTTCCGCCATGGCTGTTGATTCCCTAGGTTTTCTTCTTCGCTGTTACCTTGCTTGCTACACACACAAAAACACGCAGAGATGGATGGTGGTAAAAGAGAAAGAGGGGGATATATTCGAGGGTTTGTAAAGTTTAAACTCTAGACCGACGGAATATTCTTCCGTGTTATCTGTGTGAACTGTGAAGCTTCTTGAAGTTGGGCCTAGAAATTAACCCATACATTAAAGCCCAAAAATAAACCAATTAGTTAAGTCACTTTGACACTTGTGAGTTGGGTATTGTGATTATGGGTTGGGTTTATTTTTCTTAGCATTGATATTGTGTTAGTAGAAGAAATATTTTGATTTTTGGTTTCCATATTTTTTGATGGGACTAAAAAGTTCATCCGGATACATTTGACGTTGTCATTTGTAACATACTAGGTGTGAGATCTGATTATTATACGGATTGATTTAAAAAAAATTACACATTAAATTAAAAAATAAATAAATATTTTTTTTAATATACAATTTTAAAATAAGAAACGAAGAAACGTATTTATTGTAATTTAATATCATATATATGATATTTAATACTTTACATATATAAATATGATTTTAATTTTAAAAATTGAAAGAAAATCAAAAATTAACAAATGAATAATATTTATTTCAAAAATACCAAAAAATGACAAGTATCAGAATTCATGAGAGATTGATATATGCCAAAAAAAAAAAAAAAAAAACTTCATTTACAAGTTTTCGTTCTAACAGTCACAAACAATGAGAAATCATTGTCGATTAAAAAAAAATTTGGAATATAATAAGACATACTTCTTCAATACTATATATATATATATATATATATATATATATATATATATATATATATATATATATATATATATATATAGGAGTAGGATCAAATGAGAACACCTAAAAGGTTGAGAACGCGAGAACAGATCTGAACCATCTAATTTTTAAGATGTGTGTCTATAATTAATTGTTATTTGTCTAATTATTAACACATTTAAATTTTAATTTTTAAATTAAAGAAAATTATAAAGGCTATTAAGGTAAATAAGCATTACCCTTATTTTGTAAACTCCTATAATTACTCTCTACCTTTGTATTTCTTGACCTAATCTCATAAGGCATTAAATCGATGAAACAAAAGCGGCCTCCTTCAACTCGATCATCATCAGACCTCGCCATCACCAAAACCCTCCAAGGCTTGAACGACAAATCGATCTCTTGCAACTCGATTTCCAATTGTTCTCTTACAACTCAATTTTATTTCATTGGTATTCATTGTAGATTCTAGACCCGCATCCTTGAATCTGATGAAACGGAAGCGGAAGGGAAGAGAAGATGATGGTGAAGATGTTGAAGATGACCGCATTGAAGAAGAATGGAGAAGGAGAAAGAAATACAAAGGGGACGAAGAAAACGATGGGAGCAGGAAGGTCTTACACAGAGAACGTGTCCATCGCTGTCGTCGTAGCCGTTAAGAAAGGTCTTCCCGATTGGAATGTCACAGAAGTAGTGTATGGATGGAGAGAAAGAGAGAGAGAGAGAGAGAGAGAGAGAGAGAGAGAGAGAGAGAGACGGCGAGAGAGACCTTCTGTCTTTGGTCTTCAAAGACGAACCATTCTTGTTGTCAGATTCGTCAACTGTCTTCTCCAAGTACTCATACTCATCGAAGTCCATTATCTCACTTGTAGTCGTTCCCCAAGTCCTAGATTAGGGCTTTGGACGATCGAATTTGATTGGTGACGCTGGTGTGGATTCTTAGACAAAGATGACGGGCGCGAAAGTGCGAACTCTAGCTTCTGCAGTCTACCACATCTTTCTTATCTTTAAGTCTCATGATCTCTCTTTATGAATACATTTAGAATGTGTATTTATTTATGAATAACATTGTATTCATCTATGAATAACAATGCATTCTTGTGTAAATGAATGTATTTATTTTTTATTAGAGGTATTCATTTGTCAATAGCTGGGTACTCATCTGTTAATAGAAGTGTATTCATTTGTGAATAGCAATGTAATAATGTGTTAATGAGTGTATTTATTTATGATTAGAGGTATTTTGTTTTTTTTTTATTTTCAGTTAATTAAAAAAAAATTGGACTACTTGTAAATTGATATGTATTCATTTATGGTTGGAGTAGTTTCAGGTTTTTGAAAAAAATAATCATTTGTGAATATAAATGTATTTTATTTGGGGTTGTTTTTTTTTTTTTTTTTTTTTTGAAGAAAAAAAAACGTGAAATAGGAGAAAAAAAATTGATTTTTTTTTCATTTTTTAAATAAATTTTGGTAAAAATGTTTTTTATATTCCATTAATAAAAAAAATAAAAAATCAAATATTTCTTTCTTTTTGGTAACTAATCCTAAATTTAAGGGAATTTGATTGAATTTTATTTTATTTTCATTTAATTTAAATATACAATTACTTATATGCCCTTATATATTCATAACTGTTATCGCGTTTTCAACATTTTAGGTGTTCTCATTTGATCATTTCTATATATATATATATATATATATATATATATATATATATATATATATATATATATATATATATATGATATGTTGGATCTAAATTTATGTTGGAAGATTGTGAAGTTTTTGAAGATCAAAATATTTTTATTTTAAAGAGGTTGTGTTTAGTTTTGGAAAGTTATTTTTAGGTTTTTAGGAAAGCTTTCACTAAGAATAATAAACTTGGTACTGAATAATTCTTCATATATTCAAAAAACGAGATTACAAAAGTGTGTGTGTGTGTGTATATATATATATATATATATATATATATATATATATATATATATATATATAAAAGATAACCATAAAGTAAAAGATAAGAAACGAACCCTAAATAAACTCCAACGCTCTATTTCTCAAGTTGGCATGTGAAGATTTCAAACACCCAACTTGCAACGTAAACTTTGAAAACGTATCGCACCAAGGATCTTGGTAAAAATATATGTAGGTTGTAACTTTGAATTAATGGCATAAGTCTTTATTTCTCCATTGTTGACCCATTCACAGACAAAATAGTAATCCATTTCAGCATGCTTAGTTATTTCATGATATACTGGATTAGCATCTATATGTCTTGTTGATTCATTATCACACATTAGTGGAGTGGCTTTACTTTGAACAACATCCAAGTCAAGAATTAACCATCTTAACCATAAATTTTCATAAACGGTATTTGTCATGGCTCCATATTCTGCCTCAGCAGAAGAATAAGACACCACACTCTATTTCTTTGTTCACAATGAAACTAGAGCACCTCCAAGACTGATGTAATAACCCGTACAAGAACGCCTAGTAGAGGGATCACTAATCTAACTAGCTTTACAATAAGGTTCAAGAGCCAAAAATATTGACAAAGGCAAAAGTAAACCTTGTCTAGGAGTGGACTTTAAGTAACGTGTAACTCTCATGGCAGCATTCATATAAGACTGTCGAAGATTACCCAAAAATTGTCTAAGCTGATTTATGCTAAAAGATATGCTTGGTCTCATCACAGTGAGATACAATAACCTCCCGGCTAACCTCTAATACGGTGAAGCATCAACCTCAGGGCTATTATCGTCTTTAGTGATATTCAAATGTTGTTCCATGGTAAAATCACTTGGTTTGCATGCTAGATCACCACAATCTTCAAGTATATCAAGCGTGTATTTTCTTTAACTTATAGCAAAGCCTTTTGAAGAATGTGCAACTTCAATCCTTAGGAAGTATTTGAGAGGTCCAAGATCTTTAATACTAAACTGTACTTGCAACTAGTCCTTGACTTCTTTGATCTTGTCACTATTATTTCCCATTAACAGGACATCATCAACATATATCAAAGTCATTATATGTGTATCCTTTTCTTACTAGACAAACATCGAATCATCAACCTCGGACTATAAGAAACCATGACCAGTAAGAGCTTTAGTAAATTTTTTATACTAGTTTCTGGAGGCTTGCTTTACTCCATAGATGGAGTTTTCTAGTTTGTATACACGATATTCTTCTATACTCTTGAATCCTTGAGGTATCCTCATATACACCTCTTCTTCAAGATCACCATGTAAAATGCATTATTTACATCAAGTTGGTGCACTTCCCATCCTTTTTTGCAGCAACAACCAAAGCACACCTTATTGTCACCAACTTTGCAACTGGAGCAAATGTTTCATGAAAATCAACACCTTTTATTTGTATTTGTGTATACCCTTTTGAGACTAGATGTGCTTTATATCACTCCATTTCTCCATTTTGTTTGTATTTTATTTTATAGACTCATTTAGATTCTATGGCTTTCTTTCCGGGAGGCAGTTTGGTGATGGTCCACATTTTGTTCTCTTCTAAGGCCTTTATTTCTTTTATTTTAGCTTCCTTCCATTTTGGATCTTTACTAGCATGTGCAAAACTTTTAATCTCATCAAGTGAAGCGATGGCTACCAAGAAAGCTCGATGATTATTAGAAAAATTAGTGTATGAAATATAATGATAGAGAGGATATACCGTACGAGAGCTTGATTTAGGAGCGGGTAAGGATTCTTGAAGAGATGGGGGCAAGTCATTGACATATTCTTTTAAATGCTTAGGATGAAATCTAACGTGGGTACCATATCAAAAGAGATTGACCTTGATTGTCGGACCCATCATTAGTTGTTGTTGTTTTTGAAGTACTGTTAGCGAATCCCTCACCATATATCGTGGTTTTTGGATCATTATTACTTGACAGTTATGCCGAATCATCAACTTTTGTACCGTGATCCAAGTTTTCGTTGGTTTCTTTATTTGATTTGTTTTCAATTATGACTTTGTATTCATCATCAAAATTTGGTATTTCTTCCAAATCATCAACTAAATACTCGTTATTGATTATTTTGTGACCTTCATAATCTTCTCCAAACGGGAATTTTGTTTCCAAAAAAAGTCACATCTTAGTTGGTATAAACCTCTTGATATTTAAGATCATACAACATATAACCCTTTTACCCCATTGGATACCCAAT